GCTGAAGAACACAACTGCACGTGACAACTACAAGAAGTCCTCAAAGAATGATCAAAAGGTTCGGGTTGGAAGGGACCTAAAAGCTCCTCTAGTTCTAACTCCTCTGCCATGGGCAGGGACACCTCCCCCTAGACCAGGTTCCTCAAAGTCTCCTTCTGCCACAGGCCACACAAAACATTCCATCCTCACTAAACCATCTCTGTGCTTCAGAGACTTTCTGCTCTGAGCATCAGGGTGCTGGGTGGGGTGAGACAGGAGCAGCAGGGCTCACGCAAGGTCTTGCGCAAAGTTGAGACGGAAATCCAAGAGATGGGGCAAGATCTCAAGGAGACCTACAGACCTGCTGCTGGCCACAACTCAACTTACCACTGAGAGGGTGAGGAATGGTGTACTGCCTCTTCTTGCTCCAAGGGGATGTTGAGGAGACCCTGCGACCAGGGGCTCCCGGGTGGCTGGTGGGACCATCGCTCTGCCGGGCCTTCCTCAGCTGCACCATCTGCTCCAGCCTCTTTAGCCTTTCTCGGGAGCGAGAGATGAACTCAGGCTTCAGGGCTTCTAGTGCTTCCTAAAAACAAAGGAACCACTTCCTTTTAAAAGAAAAAAAAAAAAGAAAGTGCTGTGCCTCTAGCTTGTCAGTGAGAAATGATCGATGGAAATGGTTGCTCGGCTGCCCCAAACAGCAAACTGCCTCCTTGCTGTTCCTGCTGGTTTGTCCTGTTAGAAAACTGCCTTGGTGTGAGATTACCAGATCAGACAAAGGAGAATTTCTGAAAAAAAAGATACCTTGACTTTCAGAAAACATATAGAAATATGTAATTCAAGCCTTCTGGATAACTTATCCAAATTGCAGGTTTTGGTGTTTGCCTATTTCCTTGTCTCACCCCATTGCTGAAGCTGCTTGTCACTGACAGTTCACAAACTTCCCTGTTCATTTATAGACTGTCATGCAGACCTATCCATCCAGAAGGGAAACACTTTCCAGTCAAAGGCTGCTTTGACATTTAGGAATGGCTTAGGATGGAAGACATGGAGGTGATTGGCCTGCATCACTTGTTGGAGGAGAAGGCAGGGAAGTTAATCTGCTGCTGGGGCTTGATGTCAACCTGGGGTCATATCCACCCCTACAGCAGCTACTTGTGGTGCTGGACCACTCATGGTGCTGGATGCTGTGCACATCTGGGAAACTGGCAGATTCAAGGCACAATTTCAAAAGGTTTTTTTTTAAAATAAGGAAATCCCCAGACTTTCATCATTCCTCTCCAGGTGGGTCTTAGAATGGGGAGCTTTTACAGCCTGGCAGCCAAGCAGCTTATGCAAGTTACCAAACTTCAATGGAAAGGAGAAAAAAAATCAAGGAAATGTGAAATTCTGCCCTCAGCCACTTCCCAGGAAGCAAACACCACCCACAACAGGAAAAAAAATAAAGGAAGAAAGGTGAAAAACTGGGAAAAGGGGGAAAACCAGTGAAAGGGGGTATAAAGAAATGGAGGGGGCAGAATATAAAGAAGGGGGAGGATAAAAAAAAGGGGGAGGATAAAAAAAAAGGGGGAGGATAAAAAAAAGGGGGACAGGGGAAAAGGAAAAAGAGGAACAAAAAGAAGCAAAAAGAAAAAAGGGGAAAAAATAAAATAATCAATCAATCCATCTCCCTCTTAACAACACCACCAAATGACTGTCCTACCCGCAGTGTCCATGGGGCTGGTGGCTCCTGCTCAGGCTTTGGGCTGGTTTCTGGCCAGGTGAAGATGGTGTTTTGCTCCCAAGAACCATCTGGCAGGCCAGTGGTGGACAGTGTCACCCTACTGGCTCCCTCCTGCTCAGCCTCCTCCTTGTGGTCCTTTCTTTTGTCACCTGAACCACAGAATTCATAGTCACCTTGGAGAGATTTAAAAGTTCATTAAGAGTGCATGGTTAATTTTTTATTGGGTTCTCCACCTCATTAGACACAGAGGACAATTTCTGAAATAAAAATGCCAAGGTGTTATTAATAGGCCTCATTAAGCAGACTAGATCAAATCTAATCATAGGTGCTACTCACTGCCCTGTGACATCCAGAGTATCTTTCACATGTAGTCAGACATCACCAAAGAATAATTAAACCACTCAGATGCTGAGCTCCATTTGCTGGTGGTAAGCCCCTGGAACAGGTTGCCCAGGGAAGCTGTGGCTGCCCCATCCCTGGCAGTGTTGAAGGGCAGGTTGGATGGGGCTTGGAGCAACCTGGGCTGGTGGGAGGTGTCCCTGCCCATGCAGGGAGTTGGATCTGGGTGATCTTTAAGGTCCCTTCCAACCCAAACCAGTCTGGGATTTTATGATTCATTTCCATTTATTGCACCTATTGTAGGAAATAACATTCTTATGGCCCTCAGTGACATATCATTCCACTTTGACCATACTGAGGCTTTCACAAACACTGCTCTTGCTTTTGCCTTGTTTTCTATTTCCATATATCAGGCATCCATGGCAAAAAAAATGGCAAACAAAATGTTAATATGCATTCTAGCATATTCTGAAAGCTGTCCATTCACAAAGTCCTCCATTGAGAACAAAATATTGTCTACACTTATAATTATGCTTTAAGACTCAGTGACAGACACTCCCTGCATGATTTAGGGCCAAAAGAGGCTAAATGCTCAAAAATCAGAGTTGACAAGATTCTCATTTAGAGGACAGGACTAATCCCAAGTAACAAAGGAACTTCAGAAGAGCTCCAGATGAACTATTTTGAAAAATCACACTGGAGTTCTTCTTCCTTGCCAAACAATTGGATTTCTAGAACTAAATATCTGGGAATAAAGCCCATTACTGTTTTATTTCAATTTTTGGTTACAATAAGCTTAAAATATTTTCCTCTGTATGACATATTGTACATATTATATTGTACTTAAAAAAAATATTACAATGATCTGTGTTGGGCACATTTGCCTTATAAAATCCTGAACTCTTTCCTCAATACTGTTCTTGTTAACATTTTTTTTGAAAAAAAAATTAAAATCACACACAACAAACGACTTGAAATCTGTGAACATGAAATGAAACTCCTGGATCAGCCAGGTTTCCAGAGGTATCAATTAACTTTATCATTGATAGATCTCAGTGGATGCTTCACCTTTGTAAAACTAAGTGACTCCCAGTTAATGAAATGGCATGATTTAAGTTCAGGCACTGAAATCAAGAACAAAAGCTTCTCTCATCCAAACGGGTGTTTTGTTCTGTAGCTTCATCTCCAATAAATAAAATGTTTTGCTTATCTGTCTACAGAAAAATCTGCAAGGAAAAAAAACACACTAAGGGAAAATTTATAAGACCACCATAGCATTTTTATTCTTGGGTTGAATTTCTCCCAAACCTATTGATAGTAAAGCCAAATCCATCTTTAGTGTCTCAGTTGTCTTCTGCAAAAATAACTTCTGCATGGATGCAGCTGCTTCTCTCTTCTCCATTTGAGTAAGTGTTGGACTTCAGACACCCAAACAGGTGTTGAGCTAGAAGAAATGATGTTTGATGTGCTGAAACCTTTGTGATTATCAATTGTTATTTTGTTTTTCTTCACTCTGCTCTCTCCCAATGAAGTGTTTCATGCTCTACTTGTGCACCACATAGTTCAGGCTGTCATGCCAGGGACAAAAAATAAGAGATTGCAGAAATGAAAGAAAGGTATCAAAACTAGGTTGTAAAAATAACCTCACTTCTGGTGTTTATTGCTTGAACTGGGAGTGCTTGAATCTGCAATTTTAATATTTTTCAAAGATTTTCTGGAATCTGCTTCCAACATAAGCCCATCTCATTTTAATCTTGTTTTCTATTAACCATAGCAATGTATACAGGCAGATTAGATGACTGATCTCTCACCAGATGACTCATACTCAGCACTTAAAGCTGGACAAAAAATGGACTGACTTTCCATTATTTCACTTTTTTTTTTTTTTTTCTTCATTTCTTTTAGACTGATCTCATCTTATTATTGAAACCATATTCTGAACGACCACAGTAGGATTTGTACCTTACTTTTTAGGAGCTGGTTTTGCCTGTGGACATTTTCTTCCGAGGGGATCCCCGATGAAGTTTTGATATTGCACATACTGCTGGAGACAGATACTTTTGGTTTCAGGATGCCCTGTACTTGGATTTCTTTGGATGTGGAGGGATCTCTTGATGAGCCACCAGTACCAGCAGTTGCCTTTCTGGATGCTGCATCTGGAAGAGAGCCAGAGGCTGTTGCACTGCTCCTGCCCGGGGGGCATTGCTGCTTCTTGCCTCCCAACAGCATTTGTGTTCCTGTGAAAAATGAGAAAACCAACTCTAAGTTCATGGGAAATTTTTCCTCTCAGCCCTCTACTTCCCATAATTTTTTATCTCCTGCAAAATCACTTCGAGTTGTGTATTTAAAAAGTTGTAACAGACACAGATTGTGCCATGACAGCCACACAGCTGTACTGCAGGAAAATGGTACTGAGATGATCACAGAACTGTTTTGGTTGGAAAATACCTACCAGATCATCAAGTCCAGCCATTACCCCAGCCCTGCCAAGGCCACCACTGACCCATGTCCCTCAGCACCACATCTACAGGGCTTTGAAATCCCCCCAAGGTTGGTGACTCCACCCTTGCCCTGAGCAGCCTGTTCCAATCACAAGGGATACTCCTCATAAAAATAAACTCCCATTCTACATAATACACATATATATATTTATACACACACTCTGATGGGCAGCATGGAAGAAGTCAAGATACCTCTGACATGAAGGTAGCCATGTGTCTTTGTCTTGTCTCTTATTTTGTTGAGAGAAACTTTTCAGATTGGCTAAACCTGGTCAAAATGACAGCTAAGGATCCAACAGTGGCTCTGATGAAAGCTGAAGTGGTTTCAGGATCAGGGTTTTGACTTCTCTGTGCTCGAGTGGCTGCCTCAAAAGCACCACCTGTCTCCAACATTTCAGGTGCCCTGTTCTACCTCTGTGCAAAGCCAGAGAAAGAACCAGCAGCTAAAAGGTCTGATTTATACCAGATGTGCTTTCCTCCATAACTGTTTAGATGAGAAGGAACTCCAGAAAACTGTGTGGACAAATCAGCACACAGAAGTGACCATATCCTAAGGGGCATTTTAGGCAGAGTTTTGAAGGGAAAAAATGTGGAACAGTAAAGAAATGAATAAACCAGGAAACGAACTCCAAAGAATTAGGGACAGCATGGAAAGGGCACCAGGATGAGTAAGGGGTGGTGAAAGGAGGAGTGGAAGGGAACTCTTCTATGTCCCTACAAACCAGTTGGCAGTAGTCCTTGGTAGGCAGGAACCCCCTGGGCCATGCACACAGCATGACTCTGCTATTCCTTTTTAATCCTGAGCATAAATTGCCTATCAACAGTCCTAGTCACAGCCTGAGCTGAGACCTAGAGATTTATGTAGATAGAAGAGATCAATAGCTATTACAAAAGCTCTGAAAGGAGGTAACAGAGAGATTTGGGAGGCATAAAGAAAAAAGCCCAACTCGTTTCAGACCTAACCATAAACCCAAACAAACCAGGCAGGGATTGTCCCATCCTATATTGTGGAAATGAGACATTTAATAAACGTCAACTGGTGTTTCCTGACAAGCACTTCTTTAAAAGCAGCCACATAATTATTTTCTCTGCTGACTCATTCTCAGCAGTTGTCCCTCTCTAAACTCTTCTTTCCAATGGCTTGGTTAAGGAGAGAGGGAAGACTGGAAGTGGTTTTCTCCTTTGATCCAATCCATGGGAAAGGGTGAGATGGCACATTATGTTAGATAATTCCTTATCTCACAGTTGTTAATTAAATGTGTGCAGTGTGGGGCAGGAAGTTTCCCAATCACTTTACCAATCCTTAATTAATTCCCATTAGATAAGAAATACCCTTAGCCACAAAATTATGTTCCCACACACATTTTGGTGATCTGGGTGGCTCATGTTTCTTTCTGATCATCCTTGATTTCTGAGGAAATCAGAGGCATTAATGCACAACATCCAGTGGTTTTCCCCTACCCTGCAGATCTGAAAGCTTTCAACACCTTGTGTTCCTCCCCACAGCTGCCCATACAGGGAGAAGAGACAACTTCTCAGGGGATCCTCTAGTGGGGGAATCCCTGAAGATCAGCACAGAAAGGAAAAATCCCCTTTTTTTCTAGTGAAATTCATGGAGATGAAGCCCATTCTAAGTGATTTCACTACCATACAGAAAATGCAGTCAAAGTAAGGAAGTGCACCCAGAACTCCCAAATTCTAAGCTGGCATCCAAGCTCTCCCTCTTCTCTCTGGTACAATTTCTTTCTTTCTCCTTTTTTTTTTTTTTTTCCACACATTGCAAATATTTGCCTTATCTTTTATCAAAACTTAGCTCTTTCCTCAGATGAGAAGTTTTGCTGCCAATTCCCTCAGCAACCTGGACAGACTCAATTCTGTGCACACACTCATTTGGAACTCATGCATATAGAGTGATCCGTTCCTTCGTTCCCTGACTGATCCCACACCTGCAGTTACACTGTGTTTCTGCAAGTGTTTTATGACATATAGGGGGAAAAATGCATTGGGACAGATTAATGGGGTCATGGGCATCAAAGAGCATTGTGGGAGGGGGCAGAAACCAGCAGCATGGTAGGTGAAGATGAAGAAAGCAGCAGGTAGCATGAAGTAACTGCAGAGAAACAGAGGAGGAAGTCTTTTCACAAAGGCAGCCAAGATATTAGAAGGACAGAGGGGAAAAAAGAAAAAAAAAGAGGGGAGTTAAGCCACAGAAAGAACTTGAATGGAAAATAGATTATCTCTTTAAATCATCTTTCAAATGAAAATATTTTACTGGCTAGCAGAAGGCAGAGAGGAGAAGAAAAGAAAGTGGAAAGGAGAGAGAGTTTTTGCTCATCCGAGGCAGCATCCCAGTAGGAGATGATTTGCCTTCCTATCAAGAAATGGTCTGTGCAACAAATATGTGTGTTGTGAAGCCAAACAGCCTCTTTGCTGAGACTGTCAGACTGCTCAAACCACTGTGGTGTCCCCAGGAGGGGCTATTTGCTATGGCTGGGCAATGGTATCCAGAACTACAGACAGAACAGTCAGGGTGGTGGGAACGGGGAGACGAGAGTGAGCGGAGGAGCTGCCTGAGAGACACATTCCTCCCTTCCACAGCTTAGAACAGGGGGCTGAACAAAAGGAAGAAGAGTTGCCTGGAGTATTCACACTCCATTTACTCCTAACTACCAAGCTAGCTATTTGTGGATACTGGCTTCCAAGAGTAAGTACAGTAACCTTCAAGAATGGAGAATTAAGCCCCAGGAAATGTCTTGCATGCAGTGCACATGTAGTCAGCCTGCCCTTCTGCACAGCAGCCCTTCCCTGTCAAAAGAAATGCCACTAGTGGCTTTCTGCCCATAAGGGCTGAGGATTCCCACCAAGATGTGGATTAGAGAGAAGGAAAAGAAAGGTGTGAACAAAACTCGGGTCTAAAATAAAAAAAAAAACAACCCATAAACACAACAAACCAAACAGCAATGGCTGCTTAGCATTTTATGACAACAGGATGTCTAAGAAATAATTAAAAAAACCAAGATGTCTTATGAAATTCAGGTACAAAAGCACTGCATGAGAAGTGCCTTCCTTAGATCTTGTACTAATGTTATCACTAAATCTTAATCTTTATTAGATTCACAGGATGGTGGGGGAATTTTTATAGTTAATTAAGGTGATAAGAAAAGGTGTGCCTTGGTCTTGCCTGACACCCAAGGCAATCAGAATAATAATAATAACAACAGAGCCAACTGGTAAAGTCTTTCCTCTAACTCCCTCTTGAATAAACTTTTCCATTCAAAAGGCACACCCAGGAACAGTCAACCCCCAGGTAAACACAGCAAAGCCACCCAGAAATAGGCTCCAGAGATCAACTGCCCCATCCTCAGAGCAGCTCCCAGGTGCCTCACCAACCAAGCACAGATGCAAATAATAGCTAGAAAAAAAGAAAGAGGCAAAGGTACCTAAAGGTAAGATCACAGAGTTTCACTCTATACATTCTGGATCCATTTTTAATACACAGTGTGGGGAATTAGGACTGTTACTCTCATTAAGACTATCTGGAATTGTATATCTAAATCCCCACACAGCAAACTGGAAATATATATGGCCCTCTGAGAATAGCCAGAATTGCAACTGGATGACTAGCAAGAGATGTTTTCTCTATTACCCCAGCTGAAGAAAACTTTAGAACTAATGAACAGAGACATGCAAGTGTAATGCTTTGGGAGATAGAGAAGAACTGAACACAAAGAAACAGAAGGCTGAATGACCCCATTAATAAAATTCAGTGAATACAGGCCTCAATTGTAAAAGTTCAGCAGCTTACAGGAGAAAATTTAAAGGAACAAAATCATAACTACATTCAGAGAAAAGCCATCATTGCCCTGTGCAAGAAAGAAAGAGACAATGTTCAATTTTTACCTAATGACTTAGTGAAAACCATATGATATTGGAGGAGTTAAAAATATTCTGTAAAACCAGGGGTAGGTTTTCAAAAGCTCTTAAAAAAAAAACAAGAATCCTTGATCTCTGAGTAAAATAAGTATATTGTTTTACTGTAAAAGATCTTTTTACATTTTCCTCCCTCTCCCTTCAGGGGGTTTTGCTAACAGGAAGTGACCCAGCATTACAGCAGGTTAAACTTGCCTTTCCTTGAAACATGGGCAATCAGGCAAACATACCCTTTCCCATTGTTACTCCTTTTTTTCCTTTCTTTTCACTTTACAGCAGGATAATGCGGCTTTTCATACTTCCCTAGAACCCTCTTCCTAGGGTTTCAGTGTGGACTTTTGACAATTCATGACAAAGTGCTGCTTTGAAATAGGCCAAAGCTCATTTTCACAGACCCACAGCACCACAAATCCTCCATGGCCATGAGGCAAGCCTGACAAGAGGTGGCCAGGGAAGGAGAGACAGAGTGTTGGGATTCACTCCGTGCCATGAATGAGACCAGCCATCTACCTGAGGCTGGCTTTCCATTAGAGACCAACTGCTGGGTGGTTCTGCTTTTGTTTTAACTTAATACAAGCCCCTTACCCTGGGAGGCTGAACGCTCCCAGACCTCCACGATGGGAGCTGATGCTGCCAATACCCCAAGCAGAGAGGAGCAGCAATTCATGCTGCTTGGAAGAAACTTCTACCTTCTTCCAAGATTTAGACCCAGGCACGTGTAGGTTGTGCAGAGCCCACACGTGCCTCGAGTGGGCAAGCACTGCTCGTAGTCCAACCCAATCCTGATGGCAAAGGCTGATGACTCA